TAGAAAAATTTTAATTTTTTTAAAAAAAGAATTATAGGGAAACACTATGAACACCTGTATGCTAACAAATTAGATAAGCTAGATGAAGTGAATAAATTCCCAAAAATACACAAACTACAGAAAGTGACTCAAGAATAAAATAGAGAATCTTAATAGATCCATAATAAGTAAAGAGAGAATTATTAATAAAATATTTCCCTCAAAGAAAAAATTGGAAATTAAAAAGTAAAATTATCTCTATTTGAAAATGATATGATCTTATATATAGAAAATCCTAAGTAATCCACTAAGAAATCTTTTAAAACTAATAAAAATGTTCGGCAAAGTTTCAGGACAGAAGATTTATATACAAAAGTCAATGGGATTTCAATGGCAATAAACATTACAAAATGAAGTTTATAAAACCATTCCATTTACAACAGTATAAATATAAAATATTTAGGAATAAATTAAGCAAAAGAAGTGTAACACTTGTACACTGAAATATACAAAATATTGTTGAAAGAAATTAACAGAGATCTGAATAAATGGAAAGACATCTCATGTTCCTGGATTGGAAACAAGATTATTAAGATGGTAATACTCCTTAAATCAATCTACAAATTCAATGTTATCTCTATCATAGTTATAGCTCTTTTTTTTTCCTCAGAAATTGCTACCCTGATTCTAAAATCCTTATGGAAATACAAGATACCCAGAACAGCAAATACAATACTGAAAAAGAACAAAGTTAGAGAACTCACACATTTTAAAATTTACTGCAAAACTACAGTCATCAAATCAGTGTGGTACTGTCACAAGGATAAACATATAGATCAATGGAAGAATTAGAGTCTAATAACAGACCCTTACATTTAGGGTTAATTGACCTTAGACAAGGGTGCAAGCAGAATTCAAAAATGGAAAGAATAATCTTTCAACAAATAGTTCTGAGACACTGAGTTATCCACATACAAAAAAATGGATTGAACTCCTATCTCATATCATACACAAAAATTCACTCAAAATGAATCATAGGCCTAAGTATAAGAGCTAAATCCATAACATTCTTACAATAAAGAATAAAGCGATCTTCAGGACTTTTGGAATAGGTGATAGTGTCTTAGATATAACATTAAAAATATGAGTCAAAAAATACATAAATTGAACTTCATTAAAATGTGAAATTTTTTGTGCTGCTTATAATTCCATCAAGAAAACGAACAATTAACATAATGATAATGAAAGAAAATATTTGCAAATCATGTATCTCTTGAGGGATTTTTATCCAGAATAAATAAATAGCTCTTAAAACTCAATAATGAAAAGACAACCCAATTAAAAATTGTAGGGACCGACCCGGTGGCACTGTGGTTAAGTGCACATGTTCCACTTTGATGGCCAGGGATTTGCCGGTTGGGATCCCGGTTGCAGACATGGCACCGCTTGTCATACCATGCTGTGGTAGGTGTCCCACGTATAAAGTAGAGGAAGATGGGTATGGATGTTAGCTCAGGGCCAGCCTTCCTCAGCAAAACAAATTGTAAAAAAAAATTTGAATAGACATTTCTCCAAAGATGATATGCAAATGACCAATAAGGACATAAAAGAAGCACAACATCATTAGCAATCTGGAAAATGAAAATCAAAACCACAACGTGATACCACTTTACACCCACAAAGATGGCTATAAACAAAAGACAGATGATAAGTTTGGGGAAGATGTGGAGAAATTGGAACTTTTAGACACTACTGGTGGCAAGGTAAAATGTTGCAGCCGCTCTGGAAAACAGTATGACAGTTCCTCAACAGGTTAAATAGAGTTACCAATTGCCACAGCAATTCTACTCTAGGAATATGCTTAATGAAAAAGTGTTCATACAAAAACTTGTACATTAATATGCAAAGCAGTATTATTCATAATATCCAAAATGTAGAACAATTCAAATGTTCATTTACTTATGAACAGATAAAAAATATGATATACCTGTACAATGGAATATTATCTGACAATTAAAAAATGAAATTTTGAAGCAGCTACAACATGGTTGAAACTTGAAAACATTATGCTAAATGAAAAATGCCGTTTACAAAAGACCACATATTGTATGCTTCCATTTATATGAAATGTCCTGAAAAGCAAATCTATAGGGACAAAAAGCAGATTAGTGATTGCTTTACATTGAGGTGGGGTGGGTGAAGAATGACTGCTAACAGGTGAGGAATTTGATTTAAGGGTGATGAAAATGTTCAAAAATGAGATTATGGTGATGGTTTCACAACTTTGTTCATACTTGAAATACCATTGAATTGAGCACTTAATAGGTGAGTTATATAGTAAGTGAATTATATTTGAATAAGGTAATCCAAAATGCTAGTAGTCCAGGTTATAGAATTTACGTTACTGAATTTTTAAAAAACTTATCTATTTTTCCTATTATTTTACAATGCTTATTGAATTTTTGTGTGAGAAAGAAAATTTCCATCCACATCACCATACACATGTATGGGTTTTATCTAGTTGTAGGTAGCCTCTGCTATTTGAGGTGCAATTTTTCTGCCTATCACTACTTCATATCCAGGTGTCAAATTGGTATAGTCCATAACACTGTCATTTTCTAACAACCCAACGTACCTTCATAGTTTTTATCATTGTTTGATTTTCATCTATTGTCAGCCATTTTGATTGTTCTGTTTCCTCATCACGTATGTGCTAATGCTTATAAACATATTTGTATATATAACTGTTTCTTTCCCACTGATTTTTTTCCTTTAGATATTTATTCTTCGTAGTAGACTATACCTCATCAATGTTTGTGAACCACTTTATAGCACTTAGATACATAATCCAAATTGATAGCCTTGACATGTCAGACTGAATTAAATGAATTAAACCTGGTGAAGATAAAGTATGTTAAATGGAGTTGGAATAGACATGTGAAGGAATAAATATCAAAGTTACTTGTCATTAATAACCCGCATTTTTAGAGCATAGGCAAATCTTAATGCTTTGACATTATTGGTAAAAGTATTTATTATAGTAAATTAATTTGGTATTCATACAGCAGTAATAATCAATTCAATGGGACTTCTTTAGTAATTTAAGTGGAGACAAATGTGCACTTATCTTGAAGTGTTACTGCTAAATAGAAAACATTTTAAAGTAAGCGTCACTCCATTAATGCATTTAACATTCTTGGTCTATCATTAATCATGACAAGACACTGGTATTAATATTGATATAATAGTACTTCCATTGTGATGACACGCTTTTGCATAGACTTATAGAATCAGAGAACATTACTAATAAAGGAAACATTAGAGGATATCTAGTCCAATTCCCTACCTGATTAACGTATGAATCCCCTCTAAAAAAGTTGACAAGTAGCTATCAGTCTATTCTTAAAAACCTCCATTGAAGGAGGCTTAAATTCCTTCATCAGGCACCCTCTTGTAATATCTGACAGCTGTAATTGTTACACATTTCTTTTTTTTTTACTGGAAAAATAATTAGTCTTTCTGAAACTTCTGACCACGGGCTCTGATTCTGTCCTCTGGAGCCACACAGAACAAACCGAGGACCTCTATCTGTGATAGCTCCTCAAGTGACTAATGAGCATTATCATTTGTGCCTTCTCATCCTCACCCCTACCACACATTTTTATGCTTAAATATCCTAATTTCATTCGATTGTTTCTAACAGGATATATTTTCTTGTTCTGTCACCAATTTAATAACTCTTCATTGAGTGTGCTCCAATTTTCTCATAGCCCTCTTAAAATGAGGCACTCACTATTCACGAATTACTCCAGATGTGGCATATTACTTATTTCTTTGAATACTCTACTTCTATTCATACAGCCTAAAGTAGCATTTCCTTTTTGGAAAGCCTAATGCGCAATAACTTATATTTAGTTTATAGCAAATCCCACTGGCCTATATTATCTTTTGCATTATTTTCTGCTTATCCATATGTTTCCATCTGTATGCTACAAATGGAATTTGAGATTAAGTACAATACTTTACATTTATCCATGTTAAATTCAATTATGCTAAGTTCAACCCACTGTTGAGATCTTTTTGCACCTTGATTCTGTCTTCCAGTATGTTGGCTACCATGACTATAGGCTCCTGACATGTAAACAGTTAATTTACTTCCAGATGTTTTGTCCTATGTCATATTGTTGCGTAGTATAATTTGTAAGGTGGTAACTTATGTTGTTTCTTAGTTGGAAAATAAAATGTAACCAGTAACACTGTGCTGTAGTGCCAAATATGTAGCTATGTTTTGTCCCTATAAATCTCTAAGATCTTTTAGAAAGTGGAAATCTTTTTACTTCTCTTCCATTGCTGAAATCTGTGTCCTTGCCCCAAATATGCTTTGTACTTTCCTATGTCACTGCCTCTTCCTGTGCCCTATTCTCTATCTAGTATGACCTTCAAACCACTTTCACTTGTTAAAATAACACTCATCCTTCAAGGCCAAAGTCAAATTCTATAACTGTTAGAATAACTCCTTGGTACTTCCCAGTTAGAATTAATTTATTACTCCCCTTAGTCACCTAGAGCAATATCCTTAGTACGTTTTATATCCATTGAAACAGACTACAATTAATAAAGGTTTCTTGGATGTATATTTATTTCTGCCACTTGGTTGCAATCTCTTTGAAGCTGAAGACTTAATCTCCACAGCACCTGTCAGTTCTTTTTATTACAAAGTAGATGCTGAGTAAGTTGAATGTGCAAAAAATATAAGAGGAGATAGGGCTTTTGGAAAATGATGTTGAATTACAGCTAGCATACAAAGATTCTCGTCCCCATTTTTCTGTGCCAGACCTTGGGTGAGTCATTTCCCCTTCTCTGTGCCCCAACAGCCTTATTCACAAGATGAGATATTTTCATCTCGTTATTTATTCAGTCTTTGATTATAATATTTTATTGACCTATCTGTTGCATAAACGGTCAGAGTTTAGTTTCCAAGGTCTTCAAATTCAAAATAAATTATACTTGTTCTTTTGCAGTGAATCAGCCTCATCCAAAGCGCTGTATTCCTGGGTATCTCTTTCCCATGCCAATTGCTGTTGGACCTTTTCCACATCCTTCCTTTGATGCAACTACAGGTGAGTTTTGAAACATATCCCCAGGATTCTTGATATATATTGCCAAGATATATACTTAACAAAAGCTTACTTAGTATTAATGACATCAATATTTTGTGCTAGATTTTGGTCTAAGATGGTTTTCTCTGCATATATTCTCCAGCCACAAAATATATTTAACCAAGCCACCTTATCAATGGGTGACACTTGATGCAAGTGAAGTGAAAAAAGCAAGGAATCAAAATTTGAAAATCTGCTAGGTGCTAAGCATAAAAACAAATCTAATTTCTTCTTAGCATGAGCCTATAAGTTAGATATTACTAATCCCATTTTATAAATGAGGAAACTGATGCTCAGGGAGGTTAGAAGTTGTAGAACTAAAATTAAGAATCAAGTATTTTTTTTATTGCAAAACCTATAATCTTGATCCTTAAACTACACTGATCCAAGATGGAAGTGAACAAGAGATTCAAAGATTTCCATGCAAATTTTTCCATACAAAATTCAGAAACATATTCCATTTCCATTAGCTAGCATTGGAGGTTAGGTAGAATCATCTTCCTATTTGGAATAGAGTAAATTTAATTTTTTTAAACTCTTAATTTGGAATATTTGAACATGCACCAGAATAAATAGAATGGTATATTACATAGCATTATAATTCCACATGGAACCAGCACCCAGATTTAAAAATTATCAGCCTTTTAACACTGTTTTCGTCTATTGTTTCAATTATTCCTCTCCCCCTTTTTTTGTGGGGGAAGTATTTTAAATCAAATCCAAGACATCACATTATTTCATCCACAATTACTGTACTTAGATTGGGTTGCAAACAAACTAAAGAGCATTCAAAAAACATAAGTTCATTCATGGCACCAACAGATGAGGAGGGCAAGCAGCCTAGCCTCTTGGTCCCATGACACTTGCATGTGGCACTGACAGATGTGGAGGGTAAGCAGCCCTGCCCACACATGTTGCTCTTTAGGCCCTGACAGACATGATGAACAAGTAGCTCTGCTCCCACATGCCATCTGCAAGACACTGTCAGAGCCAATGGGCAATTGGAGCCCACCCAGGGGATGACCTTTGAGCTCTTAGCTTTGGTAGTCAGAGGGAATTGTGCTTCTGGACCCCAAGTGATATCTCTTACACAGACCACTCTTTCAAGACTGGGAGAAGTAGTTGACATGCCTGTTACATGGAAACAAACACAGAGAGTCAGGCAAAATGAGACAAAGGAAAATGTTCCAATAAAGCAAGTATGAAGGTTGAAAGATAAAAAGAATAAAATTAACTAGAACTACAATAATTAGTTAAAGGATGTATAAAATAAAAAGATAAAAAATGTGGGAAGTAAGGGGGAGAAAAAAACGTAAAGTTTTGAAATATGTTCTAATTTAAGTTGCTCTCAACTAAAAAAGGACTATTATATACACAGGAACTTATAGAGGAATTGCACAGTAACCGTAAAGGAAAAACTCATAGTAAATGCATGAAAGAAAGTGAGAAAGTAATCTAAACATAACACTAAAGAAAGCCATTATACTATAGAGGAAGAGAGAAAGAGAAGAAGGGAACAGAGAGGAACTACAAAAACAGCTAGACAACAATTAACAAAATGGCAATAAGTACATACTATCAACACTTACTTTAAATGTAAATCGACTAAACTCAAATCAAAAGACAAAGAGTGGCTGAATGGATAAAAAAACAAGACCCATCTGTATGCTGCCTATGAAAGACTCACTTCAGAAGTAAGGACACACAAAGACAGAAAAATAAGGGATTAAGAAAGATATTCCATGCAGATGGAACTAAAAAGAAAACTGCTGTAGCTATACTCAAAACAGATGAAATAGACTTTAGAACAAAGACTATAATAATAGGCAAAGATGGGAATTACTTAATGAGAAAGGGATCAATCCAGTAGGAAAGCATAACATTTATAAATATACATGTTCCCAACACAGGAGCAATTAGATACATAAAACAAATATTAATGAACCTAAAGAGAGAATTTGATAGCAATTCAATAGTAGGGGACTTTAACACCCCACTTACATCAATGGATAGATCATCGAAATGAAGAATTAAAAGGGAAATATCAGCATTAAATGAGACCCTAGACCAGAAAAACTTAACAGATATATACAGAACATTCCATCTGAAAGCAACAGAATTTCCATTTTTCTCAGGTGCACTTGGAATATTCTCCAAGATAGATCACACGTTAGGCACAAAACAAGTCTCAGTAAGTTCAGGAAGACTGAAATAATAGCAAGTATCTTCTCCAACCACAAGGGTATGTAACTAGAAATCAATAACAAGAAGAAAACTAGAAAAATCACAAAACATGAAAATTAAACGTGCTACAGGACAACCAATGAGTCATTGAAGAAATCAAAGAAGAAATCAGAAAATACATAGAAACAAATGAAAACAGGAAATACAACATACCAAAATCTTTGGGATGTAGCAAAAGCAGTCCTAAGAAGCAAGTTCAGAGCAATACAGATCTACATCAAGAAACAAGAATAATCTCAAATAAACAAACTTTCTACCTAAAGGAGCTAGAGAAGAACAAATGAAGCCCGAAGTCAGTAAAAGAAAAAAAAATAATAAAGATCAGAGCAGAAATAAACAAAATAGAGACTAAAAAGACAATAGAAAAGATCAATGAAACTAAGAGCTGGTTCTTGAAAAGATAAACAAAATTGACAAAACTTCAGCTAGATTAATCAAAAAAAATAAAGGGAGAAGTCTCTAAAAAGCAAAACTGGAAATGAAAGAGGAAAATTACAACTGATACCACAGAAATGCAAAGAATCCTAAGAGACTACTATGAACAATTATACTCCAACAAATTGGACAATCTAGAAGAAATGGGTAAATTTTTAGAAACATACAATCTTCCAAGACTGAATCATGAAGAAATAGAAAACCTGAATAGAGTGATTACTAGTAAGGAGATTGAATCAATAATCAAAAACCTCCCCAAATCCAAAAGTCCAGGACCAAATGGCCTCACTGGTGAATTGTACCAAATATTCAAAGAAGATTTAATACTTATCCTCCCCAAATTCTTCTAAAAAGTTGAAGTGCAGGGAGTGCTTCCAAACTCATTTTCAAGGACAGCATTACCCTGATACCAAAACCTGACAAGAACACCACAATAAAATAAAATTACAGGCCAATATTTATGATGAACATAGATGAAAAAATCCTCAACAAAATACTAGCAAATTGGATGCAAGCAACAGTACATTAAAAGTATCATACATATGATCAAGCGGGATTTATTCCAGGGATGTAAGGATGGCCCAATAAGTGCAAATCAATCAATGTGATACACTACATTAACAAAATTAATATTAAAAATCATAGGATCATTTCAGTAGATGGAGAAAACATTTGACAAAATTCAACATTCATTTATGATAAAAAGTTTCAACAAAGTGGGTATAAAAGGAATGTAACTCAACATAATAAAGACTGCATATGACAGGCCCATAGTTAACATCATACTCAATGGTGAAAAGCTGAAAGTGTTTCCTCTGAGATCAGGAACAAGATAAGGTAGCCCACTCTTGCCACTTTTATTCAACATAGTATTGAAATTCCTAGCCACAACAATTAGGCAAGAAAAAGAAATAAAATACATCCAAATTGGAAAGGAAGAGGTAAAACTGTCAACATTTGCAGATGACATACTATATACAGAAAACCCAAAACACTCCACTAGAAAACTGTTAGAACTAATAAATGAATTCGGTAAAGCTGCAGGAAACAGCATCAATATACAGAAATCTGTGGAATTTTTATACACTAAAAGCAAACCATCAAAAAGAGAAAATAAGAAAATAATCCCATTTATAATTTCATAAAAATTAAAATGCTTAGGGATAAATTTAACCAAGGAAGTCAAAAACCTGTACTCTGTTAATTATAGGACACTAATGAAAGAAACTGAAGAAGATACAAATAAATGGAAAGATTTTCTGTGCTCATGGATTGGAAAAATTCATATTGTTAAAATGTCCATTCAAGCCAAAGCAGTCTACACATTCAGTGAACTCCTTATCAAAATTCCAATGGCATTTTTCCCAGACTAGAATACATAATTCTAAAATTTGTATGGAACCACAAAACAACCCAAATAGCCAAAGCAATCCTGAGAAAGAAAAACAAAACTGGAGGTATCATGCTCCCTGATTTCAAACTATACTACAAAGCTATAGTAATTAAACAGCATGATATTGGCATAAAAACAGACACAGATCAATGGAGCAGAATTGAGAGCCCCGAACTAAATCCACACATAAGTGGACAATTAATTTATGACAAAGGAGGCACAACATACAAAGGAGAAAGGACAGTTTCTTCAATAAACGGTGTTTGGAAAACTGGACAACCACATCTAAAAGAATGAAATTAGACAACTTATATTATACCATACACAAAAAGTAGCTCAAAATGGATTAAAGACTTGAAGACCTGAAACCATAAAATTTCTAGAAGAAAATATAGGCAGTAAACTCCTTGATGTTGGTCTTAGCGATACCTTTGTGGATCTGACTCCAAAGGCAATGGAAATAAAAGCAAAAATAAACAAATAAAAATACAGAAAACTAAAAAGCTTCTGCACAGTGAAGGAATCCATCATTAAAACAAAAAGTAAACCTACTTAATGGGAGAGGGTATTTGCAAATTATATATCCAATAAGGGGTTAATATCGAAAATATATAAAGAACTCACATAACTCAACAATAACAATAAAACAGCCTGAATAAAAAATTGGCAGAGGAACTTAGTATGCATTTTTCCAAAGGAGACATGCAAATCACCAATAGGTACATAAGATGTTCAACTTCACTAATTATTAGGTAAATGCAAATCAAAACTACAATGAGATATCACCTCACACCTGTTAAAATGGCTATTAACAAAAAGACAAGAAATAACAAGTGTTGGAGAGGGCATGGAGAAAAGGGAACATCATACACTGTTGGTGGGAATGGAAATTGATGCAGCCCCTATAAAATACAGTATTGAGATTCCACAAAAAGTTAAGACTAGAACTACGATATGATCCAGCTATTCCACTTCTGAGTATTTATCCAAAGAACACAAAAACAGTAATTTGAAAAGATATATGCACCACTATGTTCACTGCAGCAGTATTTACAATAGCCAAGATGTGGAAACAACCTAAGTGCCCATCAAAGGATGAATGGATAAAGAAGATGTAGTATATATACACAATTGAATATTATTCAGCCAGAAAAAATGAAATCTTTCCATTTGCAACAACTTGGTTGGACCTTGAAGGTATTGTGCTACGTGAAGTAAATCAGATGGAGAAAGACAAATATGGTATGACTTCACTCAAATGTAGAATCTAAAAAAACAAAATAAACAAGCAAACAAAACAAAACAAAAATTAATAGAAATGGATTCGTGGTTTCCAGAGGGGAAGGAGGTTGGGCGGTGAGCGAAATGGGTAAAGGGGTTCTATTGCATGTTGCTTGATGGTAACTAGACTTTTGGTGATGATCACTTTGTAGTGTATGCAGATGTTGAATTATAATGTTGTACACCTGAAACTTATATAATGTTATATAGTAATTTTACCTCAATGAAAAAAGAAGCACATAAGATATCTACTCCATCACTAATAATAATCTAGCAAAGCACTTTCACATCCATTATTTAATTTGGCCATCAGAAGACACCCTAAAGGAGCTCTGTGGGTATATTAAATTTTGATATGATCATTTTAATATGGACATTTTGGAGTAGTTGTTTATATACTCTTTTGACATAGGGCATTGTTACATGGACTAAAATACAAACACCGCATTTTGTTTTTATATAGGGCATTATTACATGGGCTAAAATGCAAGCAACCCAAGTTACTTAAAACTTTTTCTGAGTAATATTCAAAATGTACGTTTTTACTGTTTGAATACCTCCCCATTCCTGAGTCTTACCCCATCACCTTTCTCCTAATTCCATATTCTATATAAGGATTGGGAGGAGATGGTGAGGCAAGTCTATGGATGAATTATTTCACACATTATTTAGTAATAAAAACAAAAATGTGAAATTTTGCATTTTGGCATGGTGGTTTTATGACTGCATCTAAAATGTCTACATTCCAAGTAAAACTTCAATGTCCAACCAAAGATGATCATGGCAGCTAATACATATCGAGCACTTTCTTTGTGCCAGGCATCAACTTAAATGATATACATATATAAATGCATTTAATCCTCATGCTGAAAAAATGACCATAAAACCACCTGCTACAAAATGTCCTGCTTTACCTTGTGTGGTAAGGATAAGAAAGATTTATTATCTATATTTGACCAGGGATGGAAAATGAGGCACACTGGTATGAAGAGATTAGCTCAGGGCCACAGGCAAGTATAAGTTAGAGCCAGCACTAACATAGAGGTCTATTTATCCTAACAAAATACTCTTTCCACTTTTCCATTTTTTTAACAGCCTAAGCTAGAGAAAAATGAAAGGGACAATTTGATTCCACTGGGTTTTTTTTGAAACTTTGTGGATTTATGCCCCAAAGAAAATGACATAAGATGGTATTATGATTGAAATAATAATGATAATAACAATAATTAGCTATCCTTTATTAAATACTCTATGTTCTAACATAAAACTTATTCCATCATCACAATTACCCTGAGTTATTATTGTCTCTTTTTACTTCTGGGAAAACTGAGACTCAGAAAGACTAAGTAAATTATCACAGGCCTCTTAGCTTGGAGAATATTGCATTTTCAGATGCATATCAGAAAATTCACAAAAGACATCGTGGCCACAAATAAAAGCAACACATGTAAATAATTTTTATGAGAATTATATCCTCACATATAAGAAATTTTACATAGTGTTTGCTCTTCTATAGTGTTCTCTTATTTGGATTAATATTTGAATTGTTTGGATGTTTGTTTCATATTAATTGATGAATTTAAATAGTTTGTCTTTCATTTTGGGAACCTTAAGAAGGCGAATAAGCAAACATGTTGACCTTTTCCCTAGGCTTTATCAATGCCTCTTAACGGAAAATTAAAAGAAATACTTACTTCTTAGTTAGAATGTTTGAAGGAGAGTGCTGCTCCTTTCTGTTGCTGATGATATTTCTGTCTCCAGGACAGCTTCATACTTCAAAATGGAGACACTGCTGTCACTTACATTCAAGCAAATAGCTGAGTGCAGCCTTTAATATGGACCCAGGTTCCATAATATCAAACACCTCAAAGTACTTCTTTCAAAAAGAGTGGAGGCTGGACTGTGCAAATTCCTTCAAAGAGGTTAAAGGTTCTAACAGGTGCGAGGAAGAGTGATTATTCTCAGTTTTCACGTGCCAGTTCCACTCCCTGATCTACCTGAAGGTAGCTTTCTCTGGCTGGCATCTTTTGATTTAAAACACACTTCTAACCTTCCAGTTACTAGGATTTGTAAAAATAAAAGAGAGCATCTGAAAGTTATTTCAGCTCTACAGTGAAAAACCAAAACCAAAGAGACAGAATATATTTAAAAAATTTTAAATATGGTGTAAACAAAGAATTGAAAGACTTTCTGGAGAATTTAGGTACCACATTTTACTTTTTTGTTGAATGACCCAGACCCTTCAAAAAAGTTGTTACTTGATTTATTTCACAATTCAGATAATTGCTTTCAATACTCCACTTTACTGTGTATATATTAGGAATAACCATATAGTATTTTTCTCTCAGACGATCCGTAAGAGCCTCTATAGCAAGGGTAAAACAGATGCAATGCTGAACTCCATGGTCTTTTGCTTTAGAGTTTCTGGAAATTAAAGGATAGCTCATCTCGCATTTTTAGAATACGCTTACTTATAAGAAATACTTGTGAGGGAAATTCAGTCTGCTCACTCACCCCTCCTGCACAGGAATACAACCACTCACAAAGACTAGTGGAAGGAAAAAGAACAGTTGCATGTCAGGAGAAGGATGGGTTGTTAGGAAGCACACGTTTAAGTTAAACAGACACTGGCAGATTCTGATAAATTTTGTGTGGGAAGGAAGGGAGGTACAAGGCATGGGTAATGGATTAGGAGTCAGGAATATTGCTTTTTAATCACAACTTGGAGTCCTACTTTATGATTTTTTGCACATGTGGGAAATCATAGTCACGAGTTTTATTGAGTGCTCATAGTCAGAGAACTTAGAGCCAAGAAGTCCCCTACAAATGGAAAAACATCCTGTGTTTATCCTTTCAGGACTTAGTGAATGTAAATGATTCAGTGTAACAAATACCTTTTGAGGCCTACTATGTGCCAAACATTTGTCGGTACTGGGGATGAATAAAAAAGAATTTTGCCATCAAGGAGTTCTCAGCCTATTGAAAGATATAGACAAGAAAACAAACAACAGTTTGTTTGAAGAATAGTAGATTTCCTTATAAAGATAAGCAAAGGGCACTGCGATAGCATATTGAAGGAGCCTCTAACCCAGACTACAGTAGTAAGAAAATGCTTCTAGTAAGAGATATTATCTGAGTTGTGTTTTGAAAGATGTATAGAAGAGAGTTAGGCAAAGAAATGGAAAAAAGTGTTTCAGACGCTTATTCATTAACTATAAAGCTGGAAAACCAAAAGAAAAAAAACAGTATCCATTGCTAATGATACACTGATTTTAAGGTTTAGTACTAATTTTATAGACTACTTTTTAACATATGTATTTTCCTTCTCACTCTCTAGTGTACAGAAGCTTCTGGACAATATTTATTGTATTAAGTGTTGGTTCTGGTCTGGCTGGGGGATTTCTGCTGGTGTGTGGCATGCCCTTTGCCAGTGCTGGATGTTATAAAGTTGGAGGTGGCTTCTTGATGATATCGGGTAAGTTGTCATATCACCTTATGGAGACATATTAGTAATTAGAAAGCTCTCTGTGTATGTGTGTGTCTGCACACATGCATGTGCACAAGTAGGTGTGTGCATATTTGTGTTTATATACTTTTTACAAGAAAAGAAACTGTACTCAAAGGGAATAAAATGTAAATGAATGAATACTGGTGAATTGGGCATGTGCCTTTGATACGAACTGCATAAACACTTTCTTATCATATATATGTGAACGTTTCCCTAAACTGAGCTGTAAAAGACAATATTTAACAATTTTTGTATTTATTTCTAAAATCTTAGTTGTTGATTTTTTCCTCTAAATGGTTAGGTGACAGATATAAACATTTATAGCTTCCCTCATTCTTTTATTGACAAGACGGCTCAGTGTGTGAGTGTTGTATTTTATGCTGACGTTATTCTGGGTAAAAATAGAATGTATAGATCAGAAAAAGTGTTATATATATATAAAACAAAATTTACAGTGCATATTGACTCTTGAATAGCTGGATATACTCTCCTATATGCTTCTTACCATAATATAAAAGTAAGCCAGCCTATACTTTAATTATACAGTTAGAGAACATATGATTAGTTTATATATAAACCAATTTGACTTGATCTTAAATTCAACCCACTTTATAGCCCAAAACCTCAAAATGTTAAACAGCCTTTGCATCTTAATGAAATTCCCTGCTGCTTACATTTGGTTGGTGAATCCCTGGCGTTTTAATTTTAAACAATTATTATTTTTTACTTGTAAAATAGAGAAAATTATCAAGATAGGAAAATAAATGTCACCCATAAACTCAACACAAAAAGATATAATCAATGTTATTATCTCGGTCTCTATCTGTTGAGCATTTTCCCTATATGTATACTTATTTTATGAAAAACGTTTGGATATCATGCCATGTATTAATAGTTTTGTGTTTTTTTGAAAACTTAAACCTCATGTCATGATTTGTGCCCGATATTATTATTGATCTTTGCCACATAATGTTTAATAGCTGCATATAGTCTACCATATATTTATACCATAATTCATTAAACTGTTCCCTTATTGCTAGGAATTTAGTTTGCTTCCATTTTCTTTTGCTATGCTAAATGCTACAATAAATGTTCTTGTATATTATTTCATGCGACAAGTGCTTATTAAGTGCTTACTTTGCACAAGGAACTGTGCAAGCCATAGGTACATACTGATAAACAAATCAAGCAAGGTCACTGCTGCAGAGAATGAATAATTTAGTGAAAGGATAGACAATAAATAAGTAAATAAATAAGTGGATAACTGAAAATTGTAATGAGTCTTATAAAAAAAATGAACAGAAAGATACAGACCAAGACTGGTAGTAGAGACTACTTTAGATAAGGTGGTTGGGGAAGGCATTTTTGAGGAGATAATATTTACATCTAGATTTGAACGATGAGAAGGAGCCAGACATAGGAACAATGTGTGTGTGTGTGTGTGTGTTTGAAGGAGGAGTGGGGACACAGTGGTTGGTGTGTGGACAAAAGTGTTGCAAGGAGAAAGTAGCATATGTAAAGACCTTAAGGTGGTAAAGAGCCTGTATGTTTGAAAGACTCAAAGACATACTGTATGATTAGAGCTTAAGTATCTGTGGGGAGAGCAACATGAAATAACATTCACGAGGTATGCAAAAGCTAGATCAAGAGGACTTTTTTATAGGTTGTGGTGAGGGGTTTGCATTTTTTTCCTAGTGCAATGAAAAACCATTGGAGAGTTTTAATAAGAAGAGGAACATCATCTGATTTAGATTGTAAAAAGATTTCTCCTGCTACTGTGTAGTGAATTGACGGAAGATAGAGAAAAAGCAGAAAAAACTGCTAGGAAACTATTAGAGTGGTCTAGGGGAAAGGTTATGGTGGCTCAGACTAGAGAGTGGCAATGGAGAAAGAAAATAAATAGTTTTAAGATATGATGTGTAAACTATATGTGCAAATTACATTCATACACACACATACATATACGTCTTGTGAGATGTGGGGGAGGCAGAATCATGAGAGTACAAGATTTTGTGCATCTTGCTGATTATTTTGTTTTAAAAGATTTCTAGATGAAAATGTATATGTTAAAGCTCTTGACACATATCATCGAATTTGTCTCACCTAACATACGTACTAATTTATTTTCCCACAAGAAGTGAATGACATTTCCTGAAATCTTAGCATTTAAAAACATTAGTTTATGACTGTCCAAAGTTACCAAAATAATAGCAGATAGTTTATACATATATATATGAATTAATTTTCATCTCTCTTCACGCTTAGTACATGATAGTTACTCTGCCTAAAACAGTGTTCGCTCATCTCTCTGCCTTCACAAAATCTCTATATTTCTCAAGATTTGTGGTAAATCTCGTCTCCTTTCATGGAACATTATTTCCCCAATGAAATTTTAAGTTCCTTTAGGGTAGATGCCTGGTGTTATGCTTATATATCTGCTGTACAATCTAATACAATGCCGAGTTCAAATAATACTTGTTAATTAATTATTGGTTGCCTTGCTGAAATTTGGCTTCTCTGAATTCACAGTTATATTTTATCTTAGAATATTGGTTTTATGAAGAGATGAAATAAGACCTTGCAATTTATTAATGCATGTTCTTAAAGTACATACCTAGAGTAGTCCCCTATTCAACAATTATATTTTTGAGGAGCTGATATATATTGTATATTACAGAAAGCACAAAACAGTAAATAATTGAGGAGTTATGGGTAGAAACAGAAATACCACCAGATGTTGTTGGAGTGAAGGATCAGTGTAAGTTAGCATGGGCAGGGAAAGCATTATGGTGGAGGTTAAATTTTGGATGAGGATTTAGAGACATGACAAGAAAAGAGAGTAAATTATAGACAAGGAGGCCAGCAAAGCCCAGGTGGGAATGCAGAAAGGTAGAAAGAAAACTAGAAAGGCTTTCATGATTTTTTCTCAATATTTATAGTGCAAGAGAGTAATGGAGAAATTAAATAATGGAACTTGCCATATTTTTGGGATTGAAAGACAGTTTCAGTTGAAGATGAAAGGTTTGAGGGATTTTAAGTTGCAACTAAGGACCTTCCAAAATTAGCTGTGTGTTTAGATAAGGGATGTAAGGGAAGGTAGCCTTTGAAGAATATTGGTGATAATAACTAACGTTTATTGAGCACCTGCTTTGTACCAGGCATTTTTCTAAGTGTTTTACAAGTATTATTGCATAGAAACTTTACAGCATAAAGTTATCTCCACTTTATAGATGAAGAAACTGAGGCATAGAGAGGATATGTAACTTGTCCAAAGTTATACAGCTGGCATACGGTGAAGCCAAACTTCAAAACCAAGCAGTTTGATTCCTGAACCTGCCCTGGAAACAATATACAATAGCCCTCTCATGAATACGGAGTGGATAGAAGCACAAAAGGTAATAAAGTTGGCAAAGAAAAAATTTAGAAGTAAGGAAAAGAGTAAGATGTATAAATAGAGATAATACTTATAGTATAGTTATATGTGTTTGTATGTGTTTAAGACTAGTAATTATGATAATATTAAAGAGGAAAGGAATTATTTACTAATTACTTTTAAAAATCCTCATACTAGTACATATTAATAGGTAATAAAAACTTGATAGATTAAGTTTAGATGAAAACCAGAGAAGGAATTTCAGAGTTTAAAATATTGGTCACGGAGCAATTAGACGTGATGTCAACATTTAAACTTGTGACTGGGTATGTGGCTGACTAAATTGGAATGGAAAGGGTAATTGGAATTGAGGGTGGCTCTGAAGTGAGAGCGACTAAAAAGAGACTTGGAAGAAACTTGACTTCTTTTTTACTTACAAATAAACTGAGCTGATCCTACTGTATTTATTTCTTGGACATTTAGTTTCAGACACCTAATCTGACCCTGCCAAAATATCTATTTAGTGTCTAGTCTACGATTACTTTGCTTGGTTAAGCATCCTAATTGTTTTTAACTTTTTATTGACATTATGATATTTTACAACCTTGTGAAATTTCAGTTGTACACTATTATTTGTCAGTCGTGTTGTAGGTGCATCACTTCACCCTTTTTGCCCACCCCCACCCCATTTCCCCTGGTAGCCAATAATCTGTTCTCTTTGTCTACATGTTTAACTTCCACATATGAGTGGAATCATACAGAGATTGCCTTTCTCTATCTGTCTTATTTCACTTAACATAAAACCCTCAAAGTCCATCCATGTTGTTGTGAATGGGACAATTTTATCCTTTTTTATGACTGAGTAGTATTCCACGGTATATTTATGTACCATATCTTCTTTATCCAATCATCAGTTGATGGGCACTTAGGTTGCTTCCACGTCTTGGCTATTGTAAATAATGCTGCAATGAACATAGGGGTGCATGGGACTTTTGGAATTGCCGATTTCAAGTTCTTTGGATAGATACCCAGTAGTGGGATGGCTGAGTCATATGGTATTTCTATTTTTAAATTTTTGAGAAATCTCCATACTGTTTTCCATAGTGGCTGCACCAGTTTGCATTCCCACCAGCAGTGTATGAGGGTTCCTTTTTCTCCACAACCTTTCCTACATTTGTTAAGTTTTGTTTTGGTTATTTTTGCCATTCTAATGGGTAAGCATCCTAATTTTTAAATAAATAAAAGGTCTTTTTCTTACTCTTATGACTGCTACTTCCTACCTCTTTGTGGTTTACTCTAAGCAGAAAATAGTTGGAAAGTACAACTTTATAATGGCTGTTGTTTTGAGTGCAGGTCTAAGTTTTCAACTTTCAGTCTTCTTAACTTGCAATGATTTCATTTCCTGGTGTTGTCATGATTTGGTTTTAGCTTACTATTGACAGTTTGAGGGGGTCTCCTGAAGGGTTAGCCAGAATAACAACCTCTATTGACTCCATGCATGAAGTTTCCTTTCCCTAAGAAATACATTCTTAAGCATTTTTTAGTTATAGTGAAAAGAAGACAGTCTACTATTTCTTTCCAAAAGGACTCATCA